GAGAAAAGGCGCAACGAAAGTTTTCAAGCATGGGCGGAAGAGCCCCTGGGTCAAGAGAAGGCTGGTTCCTGATTAGGCACAAAAAATGCTTTGTATTATTGTGACCAATCGGCGAACAGCATCCCCTGAGTTCTTTTCGTGAGTTCGTACACGACCGCTATCTCGCCACAGTTGCCCGTTTCGTTCACCAAGCTTTCCTAACCAGAAACGAAGGAACTAGCGATGAATCGAAAAACGTTTCGGATGCTATTGGCAGGAGCAATTTAATTTGCACTGAGAAAATTCTGTTTCTGACGGATCACAATGTTTTGTAATTAATAGGAAGTTTAAGAGGAAGCGGCAACGAGAAAGTAAAAAAAGTAATAGCTTGACAAGGCAAAACAACAACTTTGGACGTGCATCATGCTTTTTTGTATATTTCTTTGCTGTCACTGCACGACCACCACGTGAAAATGCCTAATTTCACGTTTCGTGAAGGACGTAAACAAGCAATAACAAAATCTTCCTTCTCTTTATGAACTTGGATATGATTGATAGAACTTCAGCTCCAGGAGAGTTCGCTTGCATTTGACAAAGTAAGTGAGTTGGAATAATCACGATAGAGACTGAAAAAATGTGAGTTCACTCTTCATGCGACGTTTTCGTGTGGTTGTCAGCTGTCGTGGCATATTAAACTCCCTAATCATTAGGGATCACTCTCTGGGGGAACTAATTTTTTCCATAGCGAAAGTGTGGCTTCTTGCTGGAGTATGCCTGCCCATATGTAGCAATATTTAATCCCTGTTGATTCATATTTGATTTGGACATGATTTCTTGTAAATTTAAACCTCGCATCTAAAATTTATTTAAATTTAAAAGAGTTTCATTTAATCCTTTGGAAATTTCATTTAAACTTCTTACGGAAATCCATTTAATCTTCGATTAAATTATGGTTTAAACTTTGACATTTTCATTTAATTCATTCTATCCATTTAAATTTAAACTTTGGAATTCCCATTTAAAATTTACTGAAAAATGTCTTTTAAACTGCTGAATTCTAACTTAATCCTTTAAACTGAAACGTTAACAAATTTCTTTAAACTTAGCAATGTAAATTACGTTTAAACTGCGAAAGTAAAATTCATTTAATCTTCCTGGGGCGAGCTCGGCCGGGATCACGCGCTCAGGTCAAATGGCAAGGTCACATGTCGTATCCTCGGCTGCCATTTTTATCTGCAGTAGAAAGTGTTGACGAAGGAACGAAAGGAAGAGTGAGCGAATTACTAAGCGAAGCATCAAGGCTTCTGTCTTCCAGCACCTCTTCTAATGCTGCTTCAAATTCCACTTGTCCAGCTGC